CCTCCCTCAGCTTCTACTGCTGGACCAGTTCCGCCAAAGACCGGGTAATTAAAAAATTTGTACCTAGTTCTTCTTTTTCTTCACAGTCAATATCTTTTTTCTGAATTTTTTTGCACTATGTGTATAACTGAATCACTCTATCGCGTAGCAAAATCATCATAATATCTAATTTTTAGTGCAACAGGAGGACCTCCTGATGAAGGTCATGTCGAAGGCGGTAGCGAGTATGACACTGACTATCGCAGTGCTGTCGATTACAACAGAGGTGCTAGGGATGGTGGTTACGGTTATGAGGTAAGCTAGTCAAATATTTGAATGTTAAGTAAGACAATTCACATTTAGGGTGGTGATCATTATGCCGCGGATGACTATGGCAGAGGCCCTCCTAAAGACGATTATAGATCTCCAAGAGAAGATTTCAAAAATCCAAGGGTAGATTATGGTGCTGTACCAGGACCAACGTCTGACGAATACGCTAGAGATGACCAAGACTCTTATGCTCGGGGAAGAGGTGATTATGATAACCGCGGTATGCCTCCTTATGATAACTACTCGAGAGGAATGCCTCCTCGTGGTGATGATTACCCAAGAGGTATCTTGTTTTTTTTTATTGTTGTTTCCTCCAATCATTTCGCTGTCATCCAGTATCTCGCTTCGATCGTCCACCTGACGATCGAATCCCCGAAAGAGGGCCGAACGATAATTATGGGGCTCCAGCTTACAATGGAAATGGCATGGTTTGTTTTTATTTCATTGAACTTCTACTCCAAATAATGAAGGAAGGAATTTTTAGGGTTCGAATTCATCAGCCTTGAATTCTTCTGCTGCTGCTGTTGCCAATAAGATAGGAGCGAAAACACGGATCATCCATCCTGATGACCATCAGACCATGTCTCTGGTGAGCTTTTTTGGACAGCGTCAGCTTACGCGCGGGGAATTTGCATCCTGGCTTGATGGTCACTAATTTGGCTGATCAAACTCACCACCTTCCTGGATCTATTTGCATAATTTTTTTGGCTTAATTATATACACTTATCTAACACACGCATCTTCAAATATGATTAGATTGTCTGATTGGGTTCAAGTCTGTCCATCTGAGCAAAAACCATTTTTTTCCAGGAAGAACGTCGAGCGTTGATGTACGTTGGCCGAAGTCAGTATTAGAACCTTTGTTGTATGGCAAATCGTGTATGCTAATCACGGTAAAATCACTGAATGTATTTCACCTTTCGTAGGTTTTTGCGTGGAAGTTGCTAAATGTCACCATGGATCAGTCAACTATCCTATATTATTTATAATGAATGTCACTGTTGCTTTTTCTCTTCAGTTTTCTTTGAATGTTTTGGAGTGATGTGAATATAAGAATCAGTTTGTACTGGGACTACAAAATCTCAAGAGACACTACATGGAAGGAAGATGTTAGCTATCACGATTTGAGAGTCCCTTATACACTTTCTGTTCTGTGGAAGGAACATGACTAACGGTTTGTTGACATCTGCAGTATGAGGACTTTTTAATAAAAGAGACTGTCAGAAGCATCTCCTTCAGTGCTTTGGACACTAGCTATCAAAGTGTGATCTTCACGTCTGTTT